TTTACACCTAATCCTTTAGATATGTCAATAATCAAATTATTTTATATTACTTATAAAGATAATTAATTTATACAGTTTTCTTTTTGTAGTTTTTCTTTATAATTTATGATTGAATGTTTTAAATAAATTAAAACTCTACCAAAACTCATTCATTTAGTTCATAGTTAATTTAAGTAATATCAATAAGCATCAATAAAAAAAATTTTTTTATGTATTTAATTTTACAAGAAGAAGTTTGTGTGAGATAGTGCCTTACAAAAATCAAAGTACAGAATTATCATTGACTGATCAATATCTTTTCTCCGGGTGATTTGATCACAAAATTCCAGATGCGATATAAAGCATGAGCATTTATTCACAAATCCGTGTTGGATAGGGCTAATTAGTCTACCTGAAAGTCAAATCGATAATAGCTATTTTCATATGTCTTTTAGATGTTTCTTCATAGCACGGATGTCCTATAATGAACAATATAACAACATGATCCTGTTTTGTGTCTAAGAGTGATAAGATATGTTTTCAAGACAGTCGAATTAGGTTTTTCTACCTAAGGGTTTATTCTATATTCATGTGAGTTTACAACGTCCGTTTGTGTGATCTATTGAAGCCGAAATCAACAACATTACCAGGTTGGCTTCTGACAGTTCATATTAGCGACTTCGTTCGATTCTCAATTTGGCACCACCATCATCCTATACCAGTGGTGAACGTCTCTAAATATTGATGACGTTTGTTTCACAAAACTAATACAATTTGCCAACCATAACGTTTTCTTATATTCATTTGTTGTTATTACTGAGAAATTATACCTGGAAGCACTGGATGGCTGTCTTACTCGAGTATAACACACCTCAGCAGTGTGTGCTTACGACCCAGAACGACGAACTTCAATTCAAGACATTAAGTCTCGCGCGAGCGCGAATGCATAACCTGAAGACCACTGAATCGCTTGGCATCCAACAGTGTTCATGATATTAATTGAAGTGATGGTGTGCATCCTCTACATAATCGCTGTGTCATAAACAAATGTGAGCAGTCAATTTCCTTCTGAATTATTATTACCACTACCAATTCAATTTAGTAATAAGCGAAGCTTTGATTTACAACCACTCAAAACAATGAATTGGAAAAACGACATAGTTTCTTATCAGCCTATACTTATAGACTCACGTTTGATATTGTTGACAGAGTATTAAGACTGATTTTTCATTGTATGAAAAGCTGAAATTCAACTACATATGATAGTTTGTACAAATATGGTCTACACTGTTTATCCAGGATTTACATCGAATGCTATCAGTTGATAATTAACATCCAGAGAGACACGTTTTTTGTTGTCCACTATATCACATATACATAGGAGACAAATATGTGTCAAAATGATGACTATGTTTTTGATTTAAAGAAACAATATTCGAATGTTCAAAGTATTTTACATTAACAAGTGCAGGACACCAAGTTATGCGTATAGAAAATATGGAAACTTAACATGAAAACGTGGATACTTATTTCTCAGTTATGAGCTCTGCCTACTGTTGTCTACAATCATTATTCAAGAATTTCAAACGGATACTTTGAAGCTAACTATTGGGTGTTGTATTGATCTCTATCACAAAAGATCATAAGCTGTTATTGAAGTGTATTTATGCAATATTTTCTTCTGTAAAATGCACGTTTAAATGTAGAAACGTAAATATTGAAGGCAAAACTAATTTTACCGAATCATTTATGCTTGTTATTTATCACTAATAACAATTTCATTACACTTAATTGTCAAGATGAGTACCATTGAGTTAAACATGCTTTCTTGCCACTTTCCCTTCTACCCACTACCTATCACTCATTCTCTCTTCCCATTCATTGTTGTTTCCCGTGTTTCTCTTCTATTAGCAACCATCAAATTGATTTCCAGATCAACTCACCGTTAACCACTGAAAGCACATTAGGAATGAAACATGATAAAGTTAGTGGTTTGGTTAGAAAAAACCAGACAGTCACACTTTTTCAGATGACATAAACAGAACAATCAGTAGTATTTATAAATGCATGTGTGTATACATCATTTTAACTAATGACATTACCAGAATCCAGATCACGAACGGGTGTTAGATAGATCATCGTTAAATAGGAGTACGTAGTTGTTATGGAAAAGCGTGAAACATGGGGTCTAATCATATGAGGTGTAGGACAGTTTTTATCCCCACGATTGGTTGACGTTTGTACGATATTGCTGTTCTAATCAAAGGGTGAGATTAACGCGCTTAGATGCCTACCCGGATGTCTACAGTATAGGCTATCCCATTGAAGCTGGACTGGGTATCAAGACAGCAAACCAGTGCTTCCAGATATTCGGTGATGGTGTGCCATGGTCATTCGAATATTTAAGTAATAAAGAATGTGTAATACTTATGAAACCCAGTGGCAAATCTACTTAATACTTTGAATGTTGTAGTACATCAGGTTACAGATCAGAATTAAACAGTGACTTTATCTCAGGGTATGACAATTCACCTGTACATAAAATGGTCAATGTATGATACCCATGTGACTATTTACAAGATACTACCGATTTGTGGGTTTAGTAATTAAATATTTAGTGTGGATACTGAGCCGTGTATTTCGGTAGATTGCAAACGTTAGATTTGCAATTGTACAAGGTTATGCAATATTACCCATTTGATGTGACATTAACAGATAATATTTTCTAGATGTGTCTAGTGCTTGCTTATGCACACAGGTCAAATGGTGGTGAAACTGTACTCGAAGAGATTATTTTAACAGAAAGAAATACATTCAAAATGTTGTAAACGAGAACACAAGTGAGGACAACCGGTTATATTACAGAGTTACTTGATAAAGTAGAAGTATCATACACCAATACTTTGCTTGTAAACAGTTCAGTAATTGTGTCAGAATTGACTGGACGCACACGTCACATAGTTTTCATAGTAAACTAACGTATAGAATGTTTGGTAATTCTGTTTTACTTTGTCTCTCCTTGGTCACTTCTCCTTGACTCTTTTGTTTATTGTCTTATACTTTCTCTTGTTATTTCGAAACGCAAGTTCATTGTGCACAATTTTTAGATAGTTATACATATATTTAAAACATTCAATGAATTCAATATTATACTCAAGATAACACAACTAATGTAGCAGTTATTCACATTTGACTCCATTCGTTTAACCCTTGTTTAAGCGCATCAGTCTCTATATAATTTGGTCTTTGTTCTAATTCTGCTTTTTTATTTCAGCATAAAAACATTCGGTATATACAACAGAAAAACTGAACAAGTTGAGGATTGTATCTTATATTTGTACATCATTCAGTAAAGTACCACAATTTCTTTCATTTGGGACATCGATTATGAGCGTACCTTAAATGTGTGATTTGGATGCTTTGATAGACCAAACAATGGTGTTAAATTGAAGATCATTCATTGAGTCAACTATTCAAAAATTGTTTGCCACTTCCGAGATATATTAACATCAGAATAGCTGTTTTCGATAGTTAAGTAAGTGTGAAATAGATTTTGTGTTCATTCTCAGCTAATACGAAATCTTTTTCATATATGTGATATAATAAACTATTATCACTCTCCTTAACTTCGACGTTAAAAGAATAATACCAAAAATTCCAAAAAAATAATAAAGAATGACTATGTGAATATGGTCAGGTGAACGAACTGTTGCCATTAGCTCATGAAAAGTAGTTTTAACGACAGAAGACTTTTACATTAGAAACACAATAGAGATATCTACGAGGGCAATAATGATGGAAACTCGGTTATTACGAAACCTGACAAAAGAAGAGGAACTGTTCAACTTGACAAAAGTGACCACATTGACAAGATAAATTACATCTTGAATGATCAGCAAAACGTTCAAAACATGACAGTGTAAAAGGTTGACAAACATAACAACGAAAATGAATCAACCGGCTGGCTGATATAGCCCACAAATCAACGGGTGGGTTCCCCAAACCTACACAAGTCAATTAGGCAGATAAGTACTCATTCTGTATCAAAGTGACGAGTAAACATTTCAAAACCTCTCCAAAAACACGTAATGAAGCCTAGTATTAAGGACACATGACAGTTCGTTCGCAAGATCATAAACACTCAAGTGATTGTTCACAAATCTCCCATTCAGAGAGACTGTATACGACTATTGTGAAAAGCATACATTACAAGAAATAGAGACTTCAAACTCTGTGGATATCATCGGTGAATTATTACTAAAATAAACTATTGACAGACATTTCGAATTCAGTGGTGTAATGTATAGACTAAACGATAGTGTCGCGATGTGTTCACGTTATTTAATATTTCAGCTGAACTTTTTTCTATAAATTAGAGAATGGTACACAGACAGAGAAGACTGACAATTTTCACTTTGTTGCCGATTTATGGACGATAAGTTTATGCTTTGTAATAAGCTTACTGTTTCGAGAGAAGCATTTGAGCGAAACAATGAATTTCTCACATCCATAAAGTTCACATGCGAGAAACAAAATAGTGGTAAAACAGCTTTTACACACGATCTATTTACAAAGTTAAAAGACGGGTCATTGGGAAGAAGCACAAGAAATCTACCTGGACGGGTGACTCCGTTTCTAAAGATTTTGATAATCATTCAAGATGTTTCTCATTTTGTCAATGGAATAAAATTCGTTCAGTTGGAAACTTGCAGTTCTATATTCAGTTGCCGTGAAAATCAAATCCTCGTCATTATTGAGTTCATTCATGGCCTCCTTATGTATTTTACTTAACGTACTTATGTAGGTAAATTTATTATACTTAAACAGATAGCAAAATTGCAATAATCTTACTACTTTCGCATTGCTGTTAATTACCACCGTTTCAAGTTTGTTGTTTATATTTGTATAACGTAATCTAGTATTGCAGTCAATCGACTACGTAATCATGATTAGTCACATTTAGTATGTTCTCACGGAACGTGTATTACAACAAATGATTTTCGCATCCACATATGACGGTACAGCTTGATAATAAATTCGAGGAAAAGAATTCCTGTTAATGAATTGCAAGATCTTGAAAATTGTCAATCAGTTTGAAGCTTGAAATTAAACCGTTTTTCGATATGCGATAAACACTTGAAATATCAGAGATAAGGTAACAAAGCATTGTTCTCAATCATTTGAATATGTTTTCGATCACATACCTGACTCTCATCACCGCTTGCCTTCACTGATGTTCACGGGAATTTCAAGAAACCCATGAAAACATTCAAAACTCTCAGGTACATGTCTGACATTTATTGATAAAGCTACTTAATACAAACACAATACAATCATAGTAACAATAAGTACCACATATCACGTAGTCTTGAACCCCTATTATCTTGATCTCTTTAAGCTGGCATTTGACCCTTCCTTATATGCTGAAATAGTGAATATTTCAATGGAACCTGGACCACATTGGTTTCTCTGCCCATTGCTTTCTACATATACTTTTATACCGATATGTGACTTCTGAGTTAATCCTGAGCACTTTGAATTAGATAGTGGTGTTCCATGAAGATATGCTGAAGAATTACGGAATGATATTTTCACTTGTTCTCGTTCTCCAGACGTCTATAGAAATTTCAAAGAGAAGATATTGAATTGTTCTACACAATTGAATATCACATTACCTTGAAAACTGATTCACACGATACACAATTGCTTGTGTCCGAACATTTGCCATAGAACAACCTGAAATGAGAATGTGGACCCTGTCTACGTAGGTCAATGAATACACCGTCATATAATGGCAAAACATGATCAAACACTATCCAATTAACTCCAGCAAAGCCTGATCCATTTTCTCGTGGAGTGAGAAGATAGAACAATATCCCTGATTGATAATTCTAAACGTGATGTTGGCTGAATTATATATATAAATAAAATTTACCTGTCCTTTAAGTTTTACTAGTGTAGCCTTAGATCTCCCTCCATCTGATACCTCAATCCAATTTTCAAATGCATCGGTGTTAGAATCAGTGAAGTTGAAGATAGTTACATTGACCAGATCACCTCCCCGTTTGATGGTGTTTTGAAATGAATTTTCCTTCATAGCTTTGCAAGTGTTGAGTAATAGAGTTGTAAATATTGCCACGATAACGGAGATATTTCCAATTTTCATTCTGAGATGAAACAGATTAGAATTCAGTTAAGCTATTTATCTGTAGGGTAAAATTAATTTATAATTGAAGTTCACTGGAAAGTGTGTTATCAGTATCGTGTGAGATGGTCCTACAATATCGTAGACGGATTAAAGTTAAACATTGAGACTGTTGGGTGACAAATCAGTGGCCAAATCCTATGCGTGGTATAGTTGATGAGCGATGAGTGTCATACTGTATGTTATGATAAACACTTTTCAGTGTCACAACTATATAATATATTTGTAATATCACAATCAGTAGAAAAATTGGATGTTCTGATGCTTAGTGTAAGCCAATTCTTCAGAGAATAAGTAACCGAAATAAAATGAATATAAGTACTATTTGAATTTTGATCAATTTTAATTCGGTTATTCATTCTCTGATGAACTGGCTTACACTAAGTGTCAGATTATTTAATTCTTTTACTCATTGGAATATTATCAAGATATTATTCATTAGTAACAATCTACTCAATGCTCAATTTATTCGAAATTATCTAATCAAAGCTTGGAAATGATACCTATTTATCCGTGCCGCTGTATCAATAACATAACAGCGTTCGATCGCAATGGCGGTTCTTAAGTTCGTGCCCGCCGCGTGGGTATATAATGGCCACTGAGCTTCCTAGTGTTTCAATATTACGTTTTTATCTGTTTGCTGTTAATCACTTCACAATCCGTTACAAAACTAGTGAAACTGAGTGAAATGTTGAATACCACAGCACCACTAATGAAGTCTCAATAATTTGGCAGTGTTTCTTACTAAAACTACAGTAAACTATCCCAAAGCTAAACACAACTGAGTACGACACTGACGGTTATATTTCAAGAAGAAATGAAGAAATTGTTGTGAAGATTGACCAAGTCCGCAATACCAAATCATACCATTTCGATTGATTGTCGCCACGTACATTATCGATGACTTTCTCTCGTGTCAAGTCCTTTCTACTTAGATTACGAATTTGGACTCTGAAGTTCACACTTACAACTTCGGTCGTTCCTCAATGTTACACTACCATAATCCACTTCCTATAATGAACTCCACTAAATAATGATGACTTTTATTGCACAAAGCTTGTACGACTTGTCGACCACAACGATTTGTTATATTCAACTGTCTCTGTAACTGAGAAATTATACATAAATGTGGACACATATTTCAGTGTTAGATTAACTAAACTAATGAACATTTGAATAACTTACCCTTGGTGTTGAATATCTTGTGTCTTCGAAAGATCACATACTCGTTCACTTTTATATTTTTATTTCACAAAGAGTTTATGAGTTTCAACCAATCGGATTATCTTAAATACGATCAGTCTCATAATGGTTGTTAAGAGTGTGATACAAAGATCAGCTGATCACATTCAGTGCACATGTGTGACATTGATGCAGGACATGCTTACGAAATTGTATCAAGAACAACTTAATCAAACTAACATGAGTTCACTAGTTACACACACGCACACACAAGCAAATGATTGATCGGTTGTCAAATAAAGAGCAATATAAAATCGTGATGTAATCCAAGTATATTAAGGAAAGCAATCGTTACTTTCTTGTACTTTTCATCACAGACTGACCTAAGTTGATCATTCACTCAAAATTAGAAAGAGTTGGACTGCTGTTTTGTTCAATGATATGCCTCTACTGAGTGCATCGGATAACTCACCGATGGTCGGACATTTGACTATCAGATTTTGTGTAGAGCGACTAACCTCCAGAATTCCTATCTGATATCCAACAGTTTGCATGATTAATTTTATTCAGTTCACAATATTGTGACAATCAACGTTAAGACTTGCAAATGAGGATGAACTGTACGGTTTCGTTTGTACAGATTGATGAGTAGCGTTCACATGAAGGCGTCCAAGATTCTAATCCGAATGCAACGCATTACGGTATGCACACGGTATTATGGCATATTGACTGACTGATGGGTAATTCATGATCACTAAAGTGTGTATTGGATAGGTGTGAGAATTACTCCTTGCTATATTATATTAGAGTCACCAGCTCTATTTTCAATTATGATAAAGATTTCTGAATAACTCATGATATCGAATGGTGTAAAGGGGAAGTGACAGCAGAGAAATATGTAACCTCAGTAGGTATGAGGTACAAATACCAATGATGGACTCGATAGTTCCAAATAAATTGAGCATTTTGTAGAGATTTGATAACATGTATATTATTTGTTATATCTCAATGAGCAGAAGGAAAGTATTTCTGACGGATTGTGACCTAATGTAAGTCACTTCTTCAGAGTAAATATATAACCGACGTTAAATCACCTCAAGTTCAGATGGTACTATACACTCCACCAAAATGTAAATAATGATGGCATACTCATTTGAACTCAACATGAACCGTTGTAGTCTTTCACTTGCATATATATAATGAAATTGCCAGTGAGCATATACAACAATAGTATTGGAACCACTCCACTGACGATTGCGTACTCAGATTCTGGATGTAGGAACGTTGTAATAAGAGTAGCCTTCGGATTATGAGACGAGTTCAATTACACAATTCGCAATGTTTATAATAATTGATGAGTCATGCACTTTGCTGACGGCACCGCTCTATATTAAGTGAAATTCTTTCATATGTGTTTACAGTTTTCTATAATTATAGACTAATCCATTTGTAACCACTAATGTAGGTGTTGAACTGATTCAAACATGTACACTTCCTTCATTGTCAGCAATGCAAATAGCTATTTCATCTAGACGATTTTCATTGGATTTCAGTGTGGATGAAGTTGAAATACATAAATCGCAATAGAGATACCATCAGTTAAAATTCTGACAAACCAGTAATGAAAACCAACGTAGTGAAGAACAGTGAAGTGAACTGTGTTTATGGTAAATCTGATCATCTGGTACATCTTAATTCGGACATTTTATCTCTGTATCACGTCACCGTCCATCTGACTAGATGTATTCATCAAAATCCTAATTCCGATTGTAGAAAACAGATGGAAATTGTGTTAATTAGTCGTTGTTCAATCAGAGTGTTCATTCAAAACATCTTAAGGAAACCATCGTATCCGTTACAGACATTATTGTTGTTTCTCAATCTAAACAGCTCGCTTGAGATGGTGCGATACGTATGAAGTGAAAAACACACCAGATGAATCTTCGAATAATCTGAAAATATTTAATTCTTTTATTACGGATGATACAAAGTGTCGTTTCAACATGAAGCACATTGACTCCTCGATCTATTAGATGATTGATTATGTTTACCAATGATGAACACTGTAATGATGAACTCGGATTATTCCAATTGAATGGATTTCAAAAATGTAGGGTTTATAGGTCACAGTATCATTGCTTATTTTCTCGAAGCAAATAGATTGTGTCGCGACTTGTTCACATTATGGTCCCACTTTTCCCTCTAAACATTGAAAGGATCCACTTTCACAAACAATTGAGAGGTTCTCACTTTACTGGCGAAATATGGAGGATACGTTTATCATTTGTAATGACCATACTGGCTTGATAGAATCACATGGGCGATTCAATGACGTTCACCCGTCTATCAAATTCATATTATCCTAGATAACCAAAGAACACATCGCGCCGAGAAATGGAGACAGACATGAGAAGAACGAACGAGAGTTGAAAAGAACTGGAAAGGATAGTTCAGGGCAGAGTGGTTAGCGGCCCATAAAATATTGAGGGTTACAGGCGTTAGCAAGCGGCTAAATAATTACACTATTCCCCCTCTGTCTCTCCCTTACGCCATGTTGATTATATTTATTCTGATCATTATTTATTTCATAATTTGATTTCACTTATAATCTGATTCAATTTTACACTTCCTAATCGGCTTAAACTAGACTCAATTGAGATCTTATTACAAACTCATCTCCTTTTCTATATATTTCTCAGTTTAAACCGCACTGGACACTTAATGTATCACATAAAACGCACCGGAAGGCTGCGATCAATTAGCTCTAAAATTATTATTCCAACACTTTTAAGATTTTTAATCACATCGGTTAGCAGACCGTAGTATTAAGTTACGTAGTTTGAACAAGGACAGCGTGTCTGTAACAATATGGTTGAAAAGTTGCTATCAGTGTAATTATGATTGATTTATCAACTGAAGTATTTTAAGGGAAAAAATCACAAGGAGGCTATCGAAGAACTGACTGACATGTTTCCCTCTAAACTACAAAATGGTCAATTGGCGAAACAGTTTGACTAGTTTTCCTATTACTGCCGATACATGAACGACACGTTTATACTTTGTAATGGTTATGAAGGCTTGATAGAAACATTTGAGCGATTCAATTATGTTCACTCGTCCATAAAGTTATATTACTATTCATATCACACAATTTCCTATTTGGAATTGCATTATTCTCTAACTAAACCTCATACCAGGTTGACCATATTTATTCTAATTAATAATTATTTCACAATCTGATTTCAGTTATAAACCTGTACAATTTAACACTTCATAATCGGCTTGAGATGACCACAATGAAAACCTCATCGCAAAACCATCGGAGTGTATATAAATTTCATTGTTAAAACTGAGCTGGACATACGAGTCACCAAGTTAAACGCATTGAACGACTGTGATCAATCAGGTCTGACGTTTTTATCCACACATTCTTAAGACTTTTAACAACAAACTTTGTCTCTTATTGAACTTGCGATATTCTGTCTATTTCTCCTCAAGTAGTGCAAACTTCAGTATCATCCTACAGGATTAACTTCATGTAATCAAATATTCATGACGATCAGTTATTACCACACAAGCTCATTTGTCAGGCTTACTCACGATCAAATCCTTATTTCTATTCAGGCGAATTAGCTGATTCAAATGATGCTTAGTTAATGAGTTATTCTTACTGTTACGGATGAACTGAAGACATTTGGTTGATTTAAAAACTTTGTATTGAATATCATTAATTTCAATGTGCCTTTGGATGTATTCGTTTTACTGAACTTCCGAAATTGTTTGTTGATGTCACTGTTTTGGACATTTTCGTTTCTACTTGCCTTTCGTTCGGCATTTCGTACTGTTTGCTGTGGGAACGTACGAAGTTGGAGAACATTTGGGCAGACTATTGCTAAATCATGAATAAACATTGGTACCTAAATTTTTGTTTGCTTCCATTGTTAATTTTGGTTCGTAAATTGCAAATAGATCGATGTACCGTACTTCAATAACGGGAACAAGCAAAAGCTTGAACGTAGCACTTACTACATTGATGACCATATTGTTCTCTCCGATTGTTGGTGGGCCGACATTCATTAGGAGGTCCGCTGATGCTACCTCGATGTCGTGTGTGTTCAGTGAAGCTAGTCGATTCACGAGTTCTTAGAAGTGTTGGCTGTACTTCGATGTTGGTGACTACTTTGACCTCCTAGTTTTTCATGAGTCGTTCTGGTTTCCGATAATTTTTGCGAGTTTATTTGGTAAGTCAGACGATTGTCTCATGTTTCCTTCTATTGCTGCCTTTTCCGCCGTTATTGATAGATACTCCACGTATTGATGTTTGTCGGTTCTGATGCTTCTCTTCACCTGCTTGTTAACTTCTGTGTATTCAGCTTTGTCTTTCTCTGCTCTTTTTCAGCTGGCATTGATTGCTGCTTTCTTTTTCCTTCTTTCTTGAAGCTTGTTCAGTGAATTAATAGTTATGCATTCCTTGTGGTGGTGTTTATTGTGGCCCAGAACCTGGTGACGTGTTGAAGTGATTACCTGAATTTTTCTTCCAGGTTTTCTTCGTAAATGTCCCCTATCCACGGAGTAGATCAAGTAAGGTCTGGAATAAGATTAAATCGTTTGTCTTACTTTTTGATGTTTTTCATCAAATTTTGTGAACGATACTATCAATATATATTAGAGAAGCAAACGACGAATTTCAAATGTATTTCAGCGAGATAGTCATAATGATCTTTACAAACCTAAATATACAGTTATTCGCCATACATAAATTTTATTTGTGATTATTTTAACAGAGAAAACTGACTGAAAATAACAATGCGAACGTTTGGATATTGGATCGAACTTTGCAGGTTAAGCGCTTCTCACAACGTCTAACAGTGAAACATTCTGACCATCATTGAGGCCTTCGATGCGCATCATTCATGAGTCTGATGTTTAGGTAAAAAGACAGTCGAAAGCATTTTAATGTCAGGTGGATGTTCAGCTCAGATCAATCTGTAATGTGAAGTATTAGGAAATAACATGTGCTCTTTTCAATATTCTTTAATTAGGTCACCAGTTATTACTATCCTCTATCTGAAAATTGATCATTCATATGCGTGTGTGTATGCGTTCAATATTCACTTAACACCTTTTTTTATCAACATAGTGAAGGGCCATAACGTAAACAGTATTTATGTGAAATATAATCACTTAGTACATTTGAATCCTGAGGAAGTTGCAAGATTGGTCACATTCAATCTTTATATCACCGTACCACCAATTTGACC